AGAAATTTCTTCTAAAATGCTAACTTCCATAATAGGAGCCAAAACACTCCCGGGTTATCCAAAACCCGAACAGGGCATACGCCCAGGTCTGAAATCATCATACGAACTTGCTGGAACCTTCGGATCCTGATTCCGAGGTCGTTTACTCAAAATTCCAATCCTAGTTCATTCTTTCAACTTTAAGCTTCTGAAATGAGAATTCTCTTTCTAAATTAACTTTGAACTTCCCGAAACTTAATTCCGACCACGAGTACAAGTCATAATACCCGAAATGAAGTTGTTCATGGCCTCCGATTGCTGAACGGAGCGCTAGGACTAAAAAATGACCGGTCGGGTCGTTACAGATTTGGAAAGGGATTTCTAGGGGAACTCATTGAGGTAAGGATTTTGGACTTAAAAACTCGTTTCTATGGTATTAATTCGCGGATTAGAGCTGTAATTAAGGGTAAAATTAGAGAAACTAGGGCTTAGAAACCTAGGCCTTTGATTGAGGATTTGAAAGACCATTTGTGGTCGGATTTTGGAACTTTTGATGTGCATGAACTCGTGGGGAAATAAGGAATCTAATGATGTGAATTTTATCGAATTCCGATACGTGGGCCCGGGGGTCTGGTATATTTCTGTGATATTGCCCGAGGGGCCGATTCTGTTGTTACATTGCCCGAGGGGCAGTTCTTATGTGTTTACCTTTTCTAGTTGCATTTTCTTTACTTGTTTGACTGCTTAAAATATGTTTTATGAGATTTCACTATTTAATTATGTTTATTGATTTTGTTCTGCCTCTTATAGCTTAAAGTTGTGTTTAACGTGATTTTATAATGCTCAGTGTTCATTTATTGTTATTACTCACTGAGTTGGAGTACTCACTTTACTCCGTGCACCCCTGTGTGCAGATTCGGGCGCTATAGGTCCTGCTAGCGAGGGTTGAGAGTTATTACTCACTGAGTTAGATGCTCATGACTGGTGACACCCCGATGTCGGGTTGTGTTGGTTTTGTTTCCGCAAATTGCACTGTTCACTGTTTATTTTGGGATTTTATTTCTGTTAAAGACTTAGTATTTATTATTTTAATTGCTTAAAGTGAATTGGAAGTGTGTCGGCTGGCCTTGTCTTCACGAGATGCGCCATCACGATCGGGTCCGGGTTTAGGGTCGTGACAAGCCGGTGATAAGATGACGATGATCCTACAGAGAACAACACAGACGCGATAAAACTTGCCAAGCACACACGCGTCAGAGCGAGAAGAAAAGCATGTATCTTGTTTTGTACGCCGGAGGCCTTAGGGTTTTTTTTAATTTCTCAGCCACTCCTATGTTAAAGAATAGGGGATGTTTCCTTGAAGATGTAAAGTTGAAGTATTTATAATGTTTCTTTTCTACTTATTGAGAAACTCTTTTCTTTAACTTACGGAGAATAGTCTTGACGGAATATAACTATTGTATATAAGTAGAGAGTTTTTCAATATGTAATAGAGTATGGACATTTTATTATTAGGGAGCGATTCCTCCTAAAATGGGTCTTATGCGACACGAATTCAAATATAATCGTACTCCAATGCGCGTACTGGATATCAATGGTGAACCCACAAAGAAGACGTGTAGAGGTTGAGAGGAATATGGCATTATAAATCCATTGGTAACTTCCAAATATCAAATTATACTATAATAGAAACATTAGACTGGTTGCGACTTGCGATTGCTTTCAAATAAAACTATTTATCAGCTGACTGATTTGCATACACATCATGTCTCCAGAGCTTGATTTTAGAAGCTCTTTCTGCTGAATACTGTCGCTTCCTCTTCTGGAAGAGCCAACTTGGCGCAATGGTTTTTTTATCGGTAGGCATCTGTATTTGAATAAGTTATACATTTTTAACATCACGTCTCTAATAGAAATAGAAATCAAACTCAGTCTTGAAATGCTAAATTGTATGATCCAGTAAAACTTAGTAAAGAAAGAATTGAAAACTTGATTAAAGATATTCAAGAAATTTTGGTAACACGGAGAAAAAGCAAATATTAATACGACTGGCATGCTAAGTGAAATTCATAGGTCAAAATCCTTTGAAGTTGAGCAAATATACAAACTTAAATCACAGTTCCTTTCACTCTACTTTCAGATTCAATCCAAACACACATAAAAAAAATTGAATTGAGATCTTACAATTTTGAAAATTGGGTAATTCAGAATACATGTTAACTCTAGAATAGAAATCAGTGCGATTAGATCAGTACAAAAGATTTGCTAAATGACCGGAATAAATGACCTTGATAAACATTTCATCTTCTTCAAAATACATACAATATTCAGAAATTGACTAAGTAAATATTAAAAATACCACATTACCTTTTGATTCTATTAAGCACATCAGTAGGAAGTCCAATAATTGGTCAATTTTTTATGAAGAAAATGAAGTGTTTGAACAACTTTTACGACAAACCTTAATTTCAAATCAATCAAAAATGTTATGTCCAAAAAAAAAGATCTACATCAGTAATAGCGCTAAACCCATCAAATTTTAAAGCAAAAACCAATTGAATTTCACCTGCTTGTTAAAAAAAAAAACATAGCGATTGCAAAACCGATTAACGGAGAAGGAGACCTCCAAATAATTACATAATCACACAGGTTTTCCAGTTTACCCAAAATCATAATTACGGATTAAAAGAAATTAGGGCTTTTAGCGTAAGGATGAATTTTGGAGTGTAAGGGTAGAAATCAAGAGGAACAAATTCAGAGAGAAAGAAGGGTACCTAGCAGTAGCGAAAGAGAACCAAGTTCGCCGCCTAAGAAGAGTGTTGTTTCAGTTCACTGGTTATCCTACTGAGTGGGAGAGGAGCAGAGGGATATTTTAGAGTGTTTTAATGGGAGAGAGCGAAGAAAATCATAATTCAGTGGGTGAAAGAGAAACATACAAATAGTATCCGATGATATTTACTATCAGCGAGAAACAGAGTAAAGTAAACAATTAGATAGAAATTGAGAGGTGGCCTTGTCATTCTCATCCTCAAATTGTAACCAGACTTCACGTGCAGGGCTTTGTAGATGCAGACACGTATAAAAATCGCGCTACATGGTCATACTACTATTAATAAGGGAGAATAGAGGAGCTTCCGGTCAATGTGAATTGGCCAGAAGACTATGGTATTTCAGTTTATTTCCTAAAATAATCGTTCATGGTTGCCTGCTTTTATAGGGATATTGTTGTCTTTGCATTCAGCCGCATTTTGTACTGACTATGAGCACACGTCCTAACTCGGAAAGAGGAAATGGGATGTTACTTACATGAGTTTGCAAATTAACTGTAACGTGAAAATTGTGGGGGCCATTAACTTTTCAGTCCACCATTATTAATTTGGATAATCTAAAGCATTCTTGGTTAAACACAAGCGCTACTCCCTAAAACTAAATATGAGACTTTAATAATTACATATTTATTAGAAGTTATTTAACTGGAAAATTTGGACAGGATTTAGGGGTGTGCATTCGAATCGGTTTATCGATAAATCGAATCGATTATTTGTTATCGAAACCGAAATCGAAAAAATCGAAACCTTATTGAAACGATAACGATAAGCATATGTACAAATCGATAATCGATAAGTAATTATCGATAAGGGTCAAAATCGAATCGATAAACCGAATGCACACCCCTAGACTGTAGACACTTGTTAAAGGAGTAATTACCTATTTGTGTAGATTAATATAACATACAGAATGTATATATATTCCGCTACTATTTTGAAAGCGGCTATACAATATTATTTTCCCTAATCTATACCCTTTCCTTTATCCTAAGTCCCTTACCCTATTATTTCCTCTACCACATTTAAGGAATGATCATATTTAAAGATCAAGGGAATGAAGTTCAAATTAATGGAAAACAGAATTAGCCGTGATGATGTGTTTTGTTTTGTTTTGTTTTTTTTATACCGTTGGAGTATTGGTGGCATACATTTGATCCCTTACTTCAGTTTTGTTGCATGTGCTTGTTGACACAATTTTTATATTATAAATGGTGTTCGTCTTATTTTAGCTTCTTTTTGTCCATATTCGGCGCGTTTATAGCGATATACTTTCCGTGGAATCCCGCAAATTTTCTTATTGGTGT